TTGAGGGGGTAGTCCCGCTGGATCTGATTGAGGACGTGCTCCATGGGGGAGTTGAGAGGTGTGTACCGCTCAAACCGACCGGGCAGTCGGGTCGGAGGGGTCGATCATTATAGTGGGGTGTTTGGCTATTATACTGGGCGGTCTTGGGTTCTGAGTCTTTCCTCTTGTCTCTGGGGGTCGGATTTTTAGTGATTGGCTCCTGCCGAGCGGCCAGGGAATCTTCAGCATTCATGTACTTCTGGGCTTTGGATAGTAGGGCTGCCATGGTGGTTGGAGGGTTTTTGGAGAGGGAGAAAAGAAAATTGGACGACCGTAGGCCGGCCATGAAAGTCGTGAGGATGACCTTGTCGTCGTTCTCCGCTACTTGAAGGGCTTCGGTGTTGAAGCGGGTGACGAAGCTGCGGAGCGACTCCCCCTCGGTCTGACGAATGTTAAGGAGTTGGGTGGCTGGGCGTCTCTGACGCTGGGCTCCGATAAAATGGCTCAGGAAAGAGTCACTGAGGTATTAAAAGGTGGAGGCGGAGTCCGCTGGTAACTGGCTAAACCACAACCGAGCTGATCCCTTCAGTGTCACGGGGAAAGCTCGGCACATGATCTCGTCAGGGAAAGCATGGAGGATCATGAGGGTGCGGTAGGTTTCCAAATGGTCGACTGGGTCCGTCGTGCCATCGAAAGAGTCAATGGTGGGCATTTTGAACTTGGCGGGCAATGGTTTGTCCGGATGGAGGCAACAAAAGGCGAGTTGGCGGTGACTGAGGGCTTGTGCTGAACGTTCTGCATGACCCCTTGTAGTTGGAGCTTCATAGCTTGGAGTTCAGCGTCCCAGAGAGGAATGTTGTCGCCATGGTCGGTCAATGGAGGCTGGACGCTGCTGGCTTCCCCCTCAGGGGCTAGTGCCATGACTGACGGGGGTGGGGGTGGAGGTGGTAGGCTCATGTGTGGAGGAGGAGGTGGTTGTAAACCTTCTGGGTTGAGCGGAGGGGGTTGTGGAGCAGTGTGGACCGGGGTTCTTTCTTGGTTGGGTGGCATATCTGGAGGTGGAGCGGGGAGGTTTCTTTGGAGTAAAGCACTGATCAGGGCTTGGTTTTGCTCGGCCATGCGGTTAATGCTGTTGGTAAGTTCGATGATGTACTGTGGTGGGTTGTTTGGATGGGGAGGGTCTGTTTGATGATCGGCGGTATTATGGTGAGAAGCCATGGATCTAGTCGTGACCATACACCTGGACGGGTGAGAGGAAAAGGTAACGGGGAGAAAGGGGGGCTCCGGCGATAGTGAACACAACTAGCGCACGAATAAACCACAAGTTCCCACAGACGGCGCCAACTGATGATGCAGTTCGTCCTGGGTGGATGGGTCGGGCTGGTCCAAGCTCTTCAAGTTCCGATCTAGGCGGATGATTCCACCAAATGACCTGCAAGCACGTCCAAAGGGGAACGGGGTAGTCCCCCAGTGAACCCTCCGGCGAGCAAATCAGTAGAGGAAGAAGGAAATATAGAGAGAGAGAGAGAGATAGAAAAGCTTAACCTTCCTCTTGTCTTCGATTCTTGCTTATATCCTTTGGTAATCATTTAACTGTCCCTTGCGACGTGCCTCCTTCCGCCGAAAGCCTGTGCCGTAGCTTACCTTGTTCAGGGTGAGGGGGCTTTGTTCCGACGGGGAGGTGTTGTCGTAATAAATGCTGTGATGGGCTGCATTAATGGTGATGTGTTGTGGCAATAACTCTGTAGATCTTTGTCTGCTGATGTGGCCTGTGTTTCACCTGCCATGTGCCCGAATGTCATTGGCCCTCCATGCCCAGATGGCCTCCAGCTGTCCTGGGCTTTGCCAGTCGGGTTATGCTATGGGTCCTAAGCGATGGGCTTGGGGTTGTTTGCTGTGAGCTGTAAGCCTTATGGGCCTATCCATATCAGGTATTGTTTTCATTTTTCATGTTTTTGGAAACAAACATAATGAAAATTTTGAAAACACTATTAAGTGACAATGACCGATGTTGGTCCTTGTGTGGTGAACATTGGGCTCATGGTGTTGGCAAACCTAGGTCATTTGACAACTTGCTCACTATAAGTAACAAGTCGACCGTTTAATGAATCAATCAATTGGAGATGCAACATCAGGATGGTAAAATGTCTCCAATTAGCACTTGTTATCTGCAGTTGTGAAGACTGTGCGAATATGTTTGACCATATGATGAATAATGTCTGTACTTGTTGATTTAGTGATGGTATGGATACCTGAAGCGAGATTCTAACAGCTGCCGCTTCATCTATGGCAACGGCTTTACTGAATGACAAGCAGGGAGTGAGATCTATCCGGCTTATTAGCATGTAGTCTGGTGTCATCCCCGTGTACACCCCAAAAAAAAAAAGAGTTGAATTAGATTATTCATGCCAAAGTTTCTTGTCATGTTTTTCATCCTCACTTTTAGTGGCCCAATAGCTTAGAAGCCGCTTTGTCGTGCACTTTCAAGTCACCGAGAATGCCTCTCATTTTAAAAATCAAATTATTTTTCCATTATGCAGCCACACTTTTTCTCCAATTTGTGCTGTGGTAATCATGTAGTCTCATGCATTTGTTTTATGTCCCCTTCTAGTATTGATGATGCTTCTAATCCCAAATAATTTTTTCTTTTCCTTTTTCTTTTTATTTTGTGGTTGATGTTCTTGTTGTACAGAAGTCAATAAGCTTTCTCCTTGTTTTAAGTTTATCTTTCTATTTGAATAATTGGTTTTCCATTTGATACCAGTTAACAATTCTTACACATACACTCAATGCCGTATTGCTCCTTGGTGATACAGCATTAAATTGCTTGGTAATTTGCTAATTCCTTATTCTCTCCTTTTTCTTAACTACAATTCATTTTTCTTTGGATTCTTATAAATCATCGTTAAAATACTTGTACCTCTCCTTTCAGCGGTTCCCCTGGTTCCGGATTTCTTACTTTACGTTGTGGACCGGTGTATATGTCATCTTCCAGTGGATTGTTCACGCCTGTATCCCACTTTGGTAACTCTAGTCTCCCTTTTGTCCTTTCATATTTATGATTATATTGGTTTCATACTTTCATGATATATGGATACTTTTGTTTGTTACAGGTGGCCATACCCATTTCTTGACTTATCGATGCCTAATGCACCCATTTGGTATGTCGTGTTGAACATCTAATCACCATTGAGGCATAAAAGAATATTATTTTACCTTTTTAAGAGACGTAGAAAATTCAATTTATTAAGTCTAATTCTAAATTGTAATGTTGAATTGCAGGTACTTGTTGGTGGCATTGATGCATATTCCTTGCTATGGTGCCTTTGCATTAATTATGAAATTAAAACACTGCCTCTTGTCCAGATGGTTCCCTCAATCATACCAGTCTTTGAGATAAAATGGTACCTTGACAAAATTCTATCTCATCCCCCTTTTCTTTTTCTTTCTTTCTTTCTTTCTTTCTTATTTTTATTTCTTTTTTATTTTTTATTTTTATTACTATTATTTTTTAACTTCCAAATTGCTTTACCATCATGATGTTTTGATCAATGTTACAGTTTCTTGCGGAGAATACAGACTAGCAGGAAGTGTTCATTTGATGTTTATGTTCTTCTCTTTGGCAATCTGAGGAAGATGAAGCGGGGAGATATTGTAACCAGTCGAAGCGAAGAAAGGATGTTTTTTTTATTTATTTACTTTTGTTTTTTTTCTTTCTACTTATATATTTAATTTATTTTGGGGGGTTGTGAAGTGGTTGGCTCCCTGGTCGATGAGGTGCCCCTTACCAAGTGTAATGCTCGTGTTTGAGTTTCACTGTTGCGATTGAAAAAGAAGTGGTTGCTCCATTGTTTTGTTACCCCTATTTTGTTTGGATCAATAATAGTTAAAATTTTCATATGAATGGGTCTCTCCAACTGCTTACACCAACTTGTAATGTTTTAAGTTCCTAGTTCAACTTCAAATTTTCTTCTTGGACCGACTTGATCGCAAATATGTTTACAAGTAGTTCATTGAGCTTTGTTGTGTTTCTTTGTTAAATTTTTTCGAGGAATAGTAGATTCAATCCGAGAGAGAGAGAGAGAGAGCAACTCTCATCTTCTATTCAGTTATAGTTTTTATTTTTATTTTTATTTTTATTTTTTTATTTTCGAATTATTGTTTTAGGGATTTTGTACTATGTGCCTGTTTGGTAGAGCTTAATTACAGCTTATTTCAGCTTTTAGCTTAATTTAAGCTATTTTGATGTGTTTAGTTTAGCTTATAGTATTTTGGAAGTCAGAAATCAGCTTATTCTTTAAGTGGGGCAGGAGATGCTTTAAGAATAAGCTGGAAATCAGCTTAAGCTGAAAGTTATAAGCTATAAGCTGTTGAGGCATAAGCTATAAGCACTTTCTCACAGCTCTATCAAGCAGGGTCTATATAAGAAATAAAAGTTTGAATGAAATATTAAAAGAATATATAATGATCATATATTTTTATAATTATTCAAAACCATGATGAGATATAATTGAGTGATTAAGAAATTATAACAAACTTTATTGAGATATTTTGAAATCGCCAAAAAATGCCACGTTTGTTTATTTATCTTAGGAGTATGTTGAGAAGTTAGTTAAAAGTTAATTTTTTGACTTTTTTTCACTGTTTTATGTGAAATATGATGTGATTCAAAATGAGCCAAAAAGTTGATTTTTGACTTTTTTTTTTTTGTATTTTGCCAAAACACCCCTTAGTGTGCATAGGACATTAGTTTACAATTAAGCCTCGTTTGACAAACGGTGATTTTAGTTAAAAAGTTAAAAAATCACTAAAAAAATAAATAAGTTAACAATCTATACTAAAAAGTCAAAAATTCTCTTTTCTCTTTACTTTTTATATATATTTTCATAAAAAAATAAAAAATCCTCCAAATATACTATTCTTTTACATTATATTTTAGTTAAAAAATTACTAAAAAATCTTGTTCCCAAACAAGACTTTACTCTGGAGATATATTAAATATTAAAAATTATGTGAATTGTGTTTTAGCGATGTTGTAAAAGTTAAAAAATAATAAATAAAATCAATAGAATATATTTTGAAATTATTAAAACATATTATTATTATTATTATTATTATTATTTATTTTATTTTGTTTTATTTACTTATTTATTTTTTGGGTTTCGTCCATGTTAGGCTAATAACACTCAAAAAAACAGAAAGCATAATGCTGTTTGGTTGAGAGATTTGAAGAAATTTAGAAAGAAAAATTAAAAAGATAGGTAAAATGTAAAAAATATATACCTACATTTCATAAAATTTCACACATTTTTTTCTTTTTCTTTTCCAAATCACTCCTTGAATCTCCCGACCAAACACAGCATAACTGAAGCGGGGCACCCCGGCCATGAGCGAGAGAGAAAGAGAGTATCTCACTCCGTCGGCATTGGCAGAGCTTTATTACATTAATTGATATCCAGAAGGGTAGTTAGAGATAGATAGATATGCATTCAATTCCCAAAACCTCTCTTTTCCTTCCCAATTCCATACACATGTTCAAAGTCCTTATCTATACATACTCTATCTACTTTACCCGACACAGATCGTTCTGTCATCGGTAACGGTTTCGGATACTGATGGCTTTGTTCGCATACACTTGCTCCATTTTTCTCACTCCTCAACTTCAATTGCGCTCACGAGAATCGACTCAGACTCGCAAGCTTTTCTTTGGTGCCCCGATCACTCAATCACTTCCCAGAAAATTGAATTCTCTAGCCACTGATTTCCCTCGCTTTCGATCTCGACTAGATTTTCCTGTATCGTCCTCAAAACAGGTACAAGTTGTTTGGTTGCTGAGAAAAATGTAGCAATGTTTGATTACTTGTTTGATCTCGTTTGTGCAGTTGATTGAGCGTTTGTTGAATTGTGAGGACTTGACTGAAGAGGAGGCTGAAGCTTCCCTTGACTTCTTGCTTCGTGATGCTGGCGAAGCGTTAATTAGTGCTTTTCTTGTTCTATTAAGAGCCAAAGGAGAGACCTATGAAGAAGTATGTATATACACACACACACGCGCACACACAAACACTCTCATATCTGGAATTCAATCTATTCTTGTTCTAGTGAATTAATGTGCTTTCTTTCTAGTTCGTGAATTGTGATTAGCTTTCTATTGGTATGTAGATCGTAGGACTAGCTAGAGCTATGATCAAATGCTGTAGGAAGGTTGAAGGGATGGATAATGCGGTTGACATTGTTGGGACAGGGGGTGATGGAGCGAACACCGTAAATATTTCGACAGGAGCCGCCATACTTGCTGCGGCTTGTGGTGCGAAAATTGCAAAGGTGAAATCTCTTTGTTTGTGGTGGAGTTGATGTAATGTGATTACTTGTTTATTAGGAGTTAAAGCAGTTAGAATCAGCATATATGAGTCTGTCTTGCAGCAAGGAAACCGGTCAAGTTCTTCTGCTTGTGGAAGTGCCGATGTTTTGGAAGCTTTGGGAGTAGTCATTGACTTGGAGCCTGAGGTCAGTGCATCAATACTGTGAAAAGCCTGAGGCAGCTTGTTATTTACACAACTTTCAACAGTAGTTTGAAAATTTCATTGCTTGATGGGATGTTTAACCTTGGAGATTTACAAATTGATAATAGCTCTCCAAATTGAAAAATAAAGTGCTACCCAAATTCCTTGAGAGACTCGTCTTTATTAATTTTGATTAAAGAGATGAGCCCACTATTTACCATTAGCGCAGTAGAATGAGCTGAATGTAAAAGTTTGTTTGTTTGTTTGTTTTTGTTTGTTTTTGTTTTTTTTTTTAATTTTAAATTTAGAACCTATGTGCCCCATGTATTATCATCACTTCCTCTTATTTCCTTCTTCCATTGACCAATACTATCAATTCTTGAGGTGTGTAATGCTCTATAAAAAGTGTTTTGCCTCTCAAATGTTGTGAAGGAAAGAAATTACTAATCCTTTAGCATTGCAAATTACAAAAGGAGCTCACTGAACTTTGCCTTCTTTTCATGTTCACTTTTCTCTCACTTATTGTATCATCTAGATATATTGACTTGAGGAGGAATATTGTTTTGGATATCATGAAATGAAATTGTGTATGTTCTTGGTGAAGGTTGCTTGTTTTACTAATCAATTACAAATTAAGTGCTTGTTTTGGGTTTCACAAATTGCCAATTTATGGGACAATTTCTTTTACAGGATATCTGCATGGTTTACCTTTTGCATAGGAATTTCAAACAAGACACTGTTAGTGACCATATGAATTTCGTTTTATGTTATCTATTTTGATTTATGAAACTGCACGTTTGATGAATGTGTATATAAATTTGTGAATCCCTCTTCTCTTACAGCTTAAAAGACTTGTTTGCATTTGCAGTGGAATTTTCATTGTTAAATCTGATAGAGAAATGTGACTGTAGACTGGTAGATTTTAACTTTGATTTGCCATGGATGGATAATGATTCTCTTTCGTTCTATATATGGATCAGGGGGTGAAGACGTGTGTGGAAGAAGTGGGAATTGGTTTTATGATGTCTCCTAAATACCATCCAGCGATGAAGATTGTTGCACCTGTGAGGAGAGTTCTAAGAGTGAAGACTGTATTTAATATCCTGGGTCCAATGTTGAATCCAGCACGGGTACCTTTTGCAGTTGTTGGTGTATACAAGGAAGACTTAGTATGTTGTTTTTACTTTAATTATTTATTTATTTCGTCACTTATAACTTGGTAGGGGTTGTTGATTGGTGCAATGGTATAGGCTAAGTCCCACATTGCCTAAGTATGGTATAGGCATTGGTTGTCAAGCATAAGAGAGTCTAAGCGCAATGACTTTGTGCAGACAACAATCCAAGATTTGATCTGTATTATCGCACCATTAATTTTTATGTAGCCCATCGTAGATTTTCATCTCACGCTCTTGACATTACACAAGACTATTGGCAGTGCGCACACTTTGCGTGTGCAATTCTGCCATTTTGTAAATCCTTAGAAAGCTGCAAAAAGAGTGATTTGTATATATGCAATGCTTCTTTGGTTTTCTTCTCTTCTTTTTCCCCCATATTTTCTTGGCTCTGAATGCATTGCATATATACATATAAAGACTAAAGGTTGAGAACGATTGAATTTAATTTCTTATAGTAGAAATAGCAGCTGTGAGTTTCTTGATTTTTTCAAAGATGGTGATCATATCATGCTTTTCTTTGAAGAGGTCTGTCTGTTGTCCTGTGATTCCTGTCCATCGAGTGGTGTCTATCATTGTATTGCGCACAAATTATGTATTTATTGGTTTATTGTCTCAGGAATGTGGAGTAAATTTGACAGCTTTCGAACAAATCTAATCCTTATAATTGTTTCAATGACTTATCACTTGACGTCTCTATGCAATGTTAAGGAATTAGCTTATTCACTCATGGATAGGTCAATAAGATGGCTAAAGCACTGCAAAGGTACGGCATGAAAAGAGCATTAGTTGTTCACTCAGAGGGCTTAGATGAAATGAGTCCTCTAGGTAAGATCAAATTTTTTGGTTGCTTGAAGCTCTTTTGAAGAAATTTCATGTCATTACGGCTTTTGGCATACATGGGCAGCTAATTTTTCTGGTGTTTCCGTCTTGTAATTTGGTTGTGCACTTTTTGTTTACATTTTGATTTTTTTTTTTTTTTTTCTTGTTATATTTTGGCAGGCCCCGGAGTAGTTCTTGATATCACACCTGAAAAGATAGAGAAATTTTCTTTTGATCCATGTAACTAACTATTTATCTCATTTATATGTATTGTGATGCGTGTACTGTACATAATATTTTTTTGAAGTTTCGCTCGTCTGTACAGTGGAATTTGGTATTCGTCGCTGCACTTTGGAGAACTTGAGGGGAGGAGGCCCAAAATACAATGCAGAGGTACTAAGGCGTGTACTATCTGGTGAGAGAGGATCCATAGCAGATTCATTTGTAAGTTCCCTCTCACTATTTCATCGTGACTTCCTTGTGACTTTGTTGTCATTTCTCATCTTAAGAAGATAATTTCTGTGGTCACCAAACAAGCAGGATTTAAGCTCAGATTTTGATCTCCTGCCATTACAAATCCTTTGATTTACTCAAGTTTATATGCTACAATAATGCATGCAGAAAATAAAAGGATATGGCTGTTCGGATAGATGAATTTGAATTGGAGAGATCTGGATTTCGTCAGCATGTCTGCGACACCATTGTAGTGATTTGCACATTAAAATTTTTACTTCTTGTGTCTGCATTAAATCAGGTCCTGAATGCAGCAGCGGCACTATTGGTCAGTGGACGTGTTAACACCCTAGCAGAAGGGGTAGCACTGGCACGTGAAACCCATCAATCAGGGAAGGCTCTCAACACACTTGACCACTGGATTGAATTGTCGAGGGTAAATGAATTTGCTTTCTATTTCCTGTTTCATTTCACCTTTGAAGATAACTTGGATTTCATACTTCTCTTCCCTGGTTTGTGATCATTGCAGGAGATTAAAAATAACCTATTGTCAAGGCCTCTGGTCTTTTAACACAAAGATCAGCTGCAGAATTGAGACTGTTGTGTTTCTTTCTTGTGTGTATCTTTGAAGTGGGTGAGACATGAAACCCCAAACCTCTTTTGGTGTGTTTCCTAAACCAGTTTTATATTGACGTATAATCTTGTGTCCATATCATTTGATTGCACTGAGATATTGGATGTAACTTTAGGTTTTGTTTGGTTGGGGGATTTGAGGATGGATTTGGAAAAGGAAATGAAAAAGGTAGATGAAATGTGAATAAAATATATTTATATTTCACTTAGTTTCACACACTTTTTCCCTTTCCTTTTCTAAATTCCTCTCTAAATTCTCAACCAAATACAACATTAAGATGGCTAAATTGTAGGGAGAATAACAATTTATGGACCAATGTGGTTTGGGTGATTGAAGATTTCCGAGGCATCTTATATCATTTCTTTGAAATCTACGCTCTATTAAGACATTTGGTACAACGAAAATGAAAGTCAATGAAAAATATTTTTTGTAATATACAAAAAATAAGCTTATTTGACTAAACAAAACATTTCATTTTTAAAAGGTGAAGAATGTTTCCTGTATTAAAGTTTTACCAACTATTCCATAATTTTAGTTTATATTTCATTCATATTTTTTGTTTTCAAATTTTATTCTGTCCCCATATCCAAGATGGTAGGTTCGGATTTAGGATTTGTGGAGGGAAAGAAAAATATGAAGGAAAAAAAAATCAACTTCTAATTTTTCCTTTTTATTTCCTTTAAATCTGCCAATTTCTCTTTAAATTTTTTGATCCTTACACAGCCTTAAAAGAATCGAAGTATGATTTACCCAAGTTAAATGATTTTACTTTGGTTTGGATGCCTGTATATTTTTGTTGTGACGTGGGTGATGCTGACTGGATAATCAGTTGTTGTAAGGACAATACATTCGCGCAGCTCTAGATAAGTTTCCCCCTGGTGGCTCAGTACATGAATAATGGGGGGGTGTGTGAGTAGAAATCCAGAAAGTATTCACCCAAAAAAGAAATCCAGAAAGGAAGCCCAGCTTCTCTCTCTGTTTTTTTACAACTTTAAAAACATTATTCTCTGCTTTTAAACATCAAAGAAAAGAAGACAAGGAAATGAGTTGCAAGAATTCACTGATTCTGGTTTGTATTATTATTCCATTGATGTTGAGCGTTCACTTTGTATTAATACTTGCTAGTAGTCAGGTAGAGGTCAACGAGTCGTCCTCATCGACCATTGAAGAAAGGCCACTGAAGATAAGCAAGAAGAGCTGCAACAATTTCATAAACTGTGGAATGCCTAGCAACAACCATAGTCCTGTTGTTGAAGAACAAAAGAGAGTCACACCCAGCGGCACAAATCCACTCCACAACCGATGAATTCTCCATCAACTTCTTCACTACTTTCTCTTTTATTGTTTTATCACTGTTGAGTGTTCCTGTGTTGTGCATGAAACACATTACTCTGAAAAACACTTCTCTACTTTAGTAACGAGTATGAGTTCAATGGCTAACTTAACATGATGGTGATTTTTTTACATTTTTTTGTAGTCGGCGAGAATTTTACTCTTGAAGCTGTGTATAACATCTGTCACTAGGGATTTATTGAATCTTGGACTACCAGCGCTTTGTTGCTATACTCTTGGTAGGATATGATCGGACTATAAATTAAGTCCATCTTGAAAAAGAATAATACTATATTTATTAAACAGATAATGTGGTATAATTTTAGAGGTTTTGGGTATTTGTAATTTGTATAATAAATAAGGATATTAATGATATCATAACACTAGTTGGTACACTAGTGTGTATACTAATTAGTACATGTAATACCACCGCTTGAAAAAAAACATATTTGAATCTCCTTAGTTTCAATGCTCCTCTATTTTCGAGCCGTCTAAGGCCCTCTGTCCCACTTCTTGATTTGTAGGATTTTCTTTATATGAATCAAATATCTCATAATTAAAATTGTCACTATTTTTTTTTTCTTCTCCTTTTCAAGAATGCACATAAAATTATCACTGCTAAATTAAAACTCCACAACTGTTTAAATCAATTTTTAAATTCAACCCATTTTTCTCGTTTATCAATTACCTACAAATTTATATATAACATTATAAACACATCATGTTTAACCTTATGGAAAAAAAAAAGGAAAAAAAAAAGAGAAAAAAAAAGAAGAGAAATACAAGGGTAATTGCAAGAAGTAATGAGCCTTCCTCTTTCAGTCAAAAAATTATATGTAGCCCATGGGCACTAGGTGACTTTGGTTTAGACCAATTACAATTTATTATGTCTTATCATATTCTTCAATTATTTAATATAAAATCATGAGTTCCATCCTCTCCACCAATCACAATTCACTTTGGACACTACGTGGCCGTGTGTGAGGATCACCAAATAACTTCTTTCAGTCCCCTCCTCTACGCGTTTTAGCAGAAGAAGTGGCAAAAAGAAACGTGTCTTTCTTAGGTTAAGTGATAAATTCTGCAATCAATCATCTCAATAGGAGCATCTCTTCTCTTGTTTTAAAGTTTATACTGTTTGAGAGATAGATCACTCTTAGCTGATAATAAGGAGATGAGGAGAACGACCCAACGACCGCCATGTACCAATAAAGCAAATGACTCAAGAGAAAGTGACATTCCCTTTTATCCAAACCAAATTCACATGTGCCCATAAAAATTATTTTATATATGCAAAAAAAATGTTTTTTTCTTTTCTTTTTTCTTTTTTTCGTTTGCTTATATTTACTTTTTCGACCGCCAAATATGCACATTATGGGAAGGGGGATCACCTGTGTGCCAAAGGGTTTTGTCCAAGCGCTAATAGCGGCCATGTTTTGTGTAATTCTTTTCAAGTTAAAAGTAAATAGTCAAAAACAAAATAGAAATTAAATGTATATTTTTCTTAATTTTTGAATAATCAACTTATTTAAATTGTTTATGTCTCATAAATTATAAGCAAAAAAATTCACTAATCACTTTAATACGTATAGTCAAAATTTTAAAAAATTATCAACAATTGTATAAATTGCACCAAACAAAATCAAACATCCCGGTTTAGAGAAGCGTGAAAACAGTGAATCATAGTGGCAGAGAGAGACTCAGAAGCTGACAGCATATATTGCCAATAGTGAGAAATTTCTTTCACACACACTCTCTAAGGTCTGTTCCATATTTACAAAAACCAATAAAGGAGAATGTAAGTAAACTGGGGCATTGATCAAGCAGTTGTTGAGAAAGACAAAATGTGAACAATCTCTATATTGGAGTGGGACAAGAGATAGATATATACATATAGCAGCAAAGTACAATCTATTGGCTTTCAAATTTTAACAATGATAGAGAGTTGTAATTTTAGAATTCCAAAGAGAGTTTTAAGGATGTGACAAGAGGGGAAAAAAAATAAAAAAAAATAAAAATATAGACATACACATTACATCACATGTAAGTCTCATTCCTTACCATATTATTAAAGCTGTTTAGAACTTCAAAATTAAAACTCTCAATCTTTATTCTTCAAATTTTGGGACTTGGGTGCCTGCAAGTATCAACGTACGTCTGGTGTTTTGTTCATTTGTTACCATCAACCTTCTTCATTTTGTTTTTCCTCTCTCTCTCTCTCTCTCTCTCTCAAATAAAAACAAAAATGAAATTTGAATCTTCAAAAGCAACCTTTTTCGCAAGGACGGAACCACATGTAGATTATTTTTGGCCCCCTTCATTGTGTTGTTAACCTTGCCATCTGTTTGACGGTTCTCTCTCTTGAATATTTATTCTAGGGGATTTTTTTTTTGTCTGCCATTCTACAAATAAAAATTAAGCTTTAATTGGAGTTAATGAAAAACGCACAAGATGAAAATTCGTAGTCTTTATACTTCCAACCTCTCAGTTTAGTTGGTGACTTATTTGGAAAGGTCCGTGGCAATTATGAGTTCTTTTTTTTAATTATTTGTTGCTTTCTCCCATGAGAGTTTTTTTTGGTATATTAGTGTTGAGCTAGTGAATATGTATTGTTAGATTTTTTTAAATGATTGATTGTTTAATTTGATATAATTGCCTTGGTGTTTATATAATATAATATTTTCTTATTGATTAAAAAAAAAATAATTGACGACCCAACCCACCAAATAAAAATTGTAATTTGAATTCCTTAATTTGAATTCTAATTTTTTGAATTCAAATTTTTTTTTTTCCATGCTTTTTTGTTCTTAGTGAATTTTTTTTAATATTTTAAGTAATTTTTTAAACTTTTTTGAAGCACTTAACTTAAAGGGGAATTTTTTTTAAGGTCCCTAATAATAACAATTTAGAGCATAAAGGACACCCAAAAAAATAGTGATGCATCAGGTCCCTGAACAACTTGGCGCGCGTTTTTAATTATTGTGGACCAAAATACCCTTGCCAAAATCAACACAGAAACGAAACTCATTCCGACGTCTGAGTTCCATTCCAAACATCCAGCATCTTTACGAACAGGAGAACAGCAGAATTAGGGTTTCAACATCATCTGCACCATCGACATTAGAGCTTCGTTATCTTCTCCAAAAATCATTCTCATTCCTTCCTCACAAATTTCTCTGACCTAGGTTAAAGCTTCATTTTCACTGCTCATCATCATCTCAGTCCATCTTCGTCACGTCGCATCTTCATCTCGGGCCATATCAACTCGTCATTCAAGTTTCATCCTAACTCTGGTCAGTTTTTCTACAATACAACTAGATTTCCTCTGAAAACACAGTTAATAGCATTTTATAATAACCTTCCATAAATTAGGGTTTTAATTTCGTAATAAAAAGCTACCTGAATTTGGAAAAGTTATTTCTGTGTGTTTTGAACTTATTCTTGAACATGTTTGTGTGATTTTATCTGTAAATTTCTCTGGCATTTGAATTTCTCTGATTTTTGCTTGATGTATGTTTCTTCTTTCAATTTTCTCTAGCATGTTTATTTTCACAAAAACAATTTTCTGTGTTTTTATCTTATTCTTGAACATGTTTCTGTAATTTTGTCTATAAATTTTCCTGCTCTGTAAATTTCTCTGTAATATGTATTTTTAATTGGAATGTTTATCTTTCTCTGGAATGTCTATTACTCTCTTGCCTCTGTCTAAGTTTCTCTGGTATTTATAATTTTCTCTGACCACATCATATCACTCTCCCCCCTTGTGTGTCTCTATCATTTTTAATTTTCTCTGGAATTTTAATATTATGGACTGAATGAATGTTTCTTCTTTGAATTTTCTCTGCCATGTGTATTTTGAGAAAAAGTTATTTCTCTGAATTTTGATCTTATTTTTGAACATGTTTATGTGATTTTGTCTATGAATTTCTCTGCTTTGTAAATTTCTCTGGAATATGTATTTTTCTCTGCAATGTCTATTACTCTCTTGCCCCTCTCTAAGTTTTTCTGGTATTTATAATTTTTTCTGACCACATCACACCACTTTCCTCCTTTGAGTGTCTCTATCATGGTTAATTTTCTCTGGTTGTGTATGTAAATTTCTCTTGCATTTTAATATTATGAATTGAAATTTTCTCTGGAATGGAAATTTCCTCAAGAATGTGTAATTTTCTCTGGTATGTTTATTTTGTTCAATTCTTGGTTTCAATATGGTGTAATTCTCAGTGGCATGTTTACATTACTTTGTTTATTTTATCTTGCTAATTGTGGAATGGAAATTTTCTTTCGCTTGCCATGTTTACTTTTTTCTATCATTCATTTTCTCTAGTATGTTTACTTCTATATGTAATTTTAACAATTATTGAAAATTTCTCTCTCATGTTTATGATGCTGTGTTGATTTTCTCTGACATTTAATTTTTAATGTTCAATTTTCTCTAGCATGTTAAATTTTCTCTGGCATGTCCAATTTTCTGTAATTTTTCCTTTTCTGTAATTTTCTGTAGCATCTCCAATTTTCTGTTTTCTGTAATTTTCTCCCTTATCTATAATTTTCTCTGACATGTCCAATTTTCTTTGGGATTTAATGTTGACATCTTTATGTTTTAATCATTGTCTAGAAATGGCAAAACGTAAAAGCAGCGAAACACTGGAAACACCAAGCAACAAACAGAAACTCTCTCAGTCTTCTTATGGACTAAGATAAAAAACCAGCAGCAAAACACTAGAAACACCAAGCAAGAAAGAACAACTCTCTCAGTCTTCTTATCATCTAAGATAAAAAACCAGCAGCAAAACACCACAAACTCCTCACCAAAACACACAAGTCCAAGCTGATGAAGCAACTAGCATCCAGATGAGTACCCCAACTTCAAAAGACTCAAGCTCAAGGGGGGAAAAAACCTGTTAAACTCCACAGAAAGAGAGCTCACTACAGCATTCAATTCCGATCCAACCTCTCATCTGTCGTCTCCTTTTTTCAAACACTTAAATTCAATTCAAAACGAACTTCTAGAGCTTCAAAAGATCCCATTCTGGTATTTGATCCAAGCTCTAACCACTGGAAGGATGGATCCAAAGAAATCTAGGAAATTCGAAGATGATGTAGTTGCCATAATCCAATGTTACAATGAAAAAACAAAAGCATTCACAATTAGTAAGAAGAACCTGACCTTTACAACAAATGACATGAACTTGATTTTTGGT